TACAGGTGTATGCATGCATATACAGGTGTATGCATATATAGTAGAGCAGCGGGCCGTTGAATCACAGAATCGCAAGGGTTGGAAGGGACCTCGGGAGATCATCTAGTCCAACCCTAGGTGGGCCGTGACAGCTTCTCGATAAGAGAGATTTGAACGGTTTCAGCGAAGGCCGTGTCGAGTCAGCACAGACATTTCGGGTTTGGCAGGCAGTGCATGCATATACAGGTGTATGCATATATAGTAGAGCAGCGGGCCGTTGAATCACAGAATCGCAAGGGTTGGAAGGGACCTCGGGAGATCATCTAGTCCAACCCTAGGTGGGCCGTGACAGCTTCTCGATAAGAGAGATTTGAACGGTTTCAGCGAAGGCCGTGTCGAGTCAGCACAGACATTTCGGGTTTGGCAGGCAGTATCGGGCCAGCAGGCAGGCTCTATCGTGTTGTACGCCACTACCTAGATCAAATGCACCAGGCCAGGTATCGAATTCCTCGGGGGGAAGGTCAGAGCGGAGGCCCAGAGGGCGCGGGAAGCAAAACAAGAGGAGGATGTTCCCATCCCTGGCTGGAAGAGACATCACCATCTACCGCAAGTCTTCTGCGGCACATTCAGAACTTTTCGTTTCCTAGCAAGGCACCTGTGAAAACCCTTCTCCTTCTAAGAGGGGTACCAGTTCTGTGGGTTTTTTTGTCAGAGATCACTGCCCCAAAGCTCTCTGGTCTCCAAGTAAAATGTGTAAAAGTAAGGTAAAGCTAAAAGAAAAAATCATTCTCTCTTGGTTCAATTTTTCTTGCTCGTGCTTAAGTTCCAATTCTATTGATTCTCCAGCTACCCCAGCTGTCTGCCTGGCTGTTACTGTGAGAAACAGTTAAAATGTAAAATATTAAACACCGTCAGCAACATCGTTTAAGCATCATTAAGAAAGAGAACGCCCTTTTTTTCTTACTTTAAAATTCTGGCACAAGATAAAAAATTATCCTTAAAGCCTGTCTTGGAACAAACATACCTTTTTCCATTAGGGTAAGAATATCCCAAGCCATCACAGAACACAGGCAGATACAAGCACAAAATCATGTAATTCTTCTGCAGCCTCTGTTTGCACCAGAAAAAAAGTTTTAAGGGGAAGATGAATAGACTATGAGTAATGAAGATGGACAACGGAATAGACTACGTTAGACAGTCTCTCAGAAAACATTTCCAGAAGCGTGCACTGCATCATCTTTGTGCAGTTCACTTTCCTCAGCTGCCTTAGAGAAGTACAGCCATGCTCCACAGCGTACCATTCACGCCGTTTTATATTGGTGTGCTATAGATTCAGAGGCCTTTCCATT